AGAAGATTGTGGCAGTTACCGAGCATAGCATCACCATGGTGAAAGAGAGCATGGGAAATGATGAAGATGCAGAGGCAACTCATGGATACTATCCTGAGCTGGAATGCCCTAATGTAAAACATGGTTATGTTAGGCTAGCAATCTCTGCAATCCCAAAATGTGAAACCCAGCCATGTCCTTCAACCACTGGACAATACTGGCCGCTGGGACCAGAAGCAACTCCTAACCTCTGTCCCCAAGACAGTGCTCTTAGTATCTTCCATTCATCTTTCAGGTCCTCTCTTTGGGCACCGAGAGTGTTGAACATTTGAACAGCACTCAAGCCCAGACCCCATCCAGATCAGAAGAGTCAGAAAGAAGGCACATACTTCCATTTAACTTCACGCACACACCTGTCTCCCCAAAAATATTGTATTTGAAATGTTCTTTTGGTTGTACTTGGAATTTTGTTTGCACTGTTGCTCTAACTAAAGGTTCATGTATAGTTGCTTACTTAAAACAATTGTTTAGTTAAATGTATTTCCAAACGCAAAGGGCTCATCTAGACTATGCTAAAGTGTTGAAAGAGGATATGCAAATTCCCCAGGAATTTGCATATCTTCTTCTGATCTCACTTTTGAAAGTGGAGCTTTCGAAAGTGAAAGTAGTCAAGATACTTTTTTCCGGCAACCCCCACTTTTTCAAAAGGCCGCTTTTCCTCAAAAAGAGGGGTTGCCGAAAAAAACGCATCTTGACTACTTTCCCTTTCGAAAGATCCACTTTTGAAAGTGAGATCGGAAATATGCAAATCCCGTGGATTGCATATCCATTTTTAACACTTTAGCGTAGTCTAGATGAGCCCAAAGATAGTATTTTCCATGATTTCATTAAAATTTTATTATTGATTTTTAATCTTTCATAATAAAACTATTTACAATACATCCAGTATGAGTAATCATTGCCTATAAACACAGAAAATCCTTTAAACACAGCTGAAATGGCTTATAGGGTTTTATAAACGGACACAGAGAATTTTAAACTGCAACCACT